ACAAGGGCTTCTCTACATTCGCATGAAGAAAGCATACAACTTTGTTTTAAACGAATCAGACTCAGGGCAAGATCAGTCTGATTGGCTTGATGAAGATTTACTTGAGTCTCACAGGCCAGCTCAAAGACCCAGCAGTACCACTACATGTCATAATCAGACAGGGGAGTTCACTGGTACAAGTACAAGTACAAATACCAGTACCCAACAAACGGAAGAGTCGACAATTACCACTGATCCTCAAAGAGATAAGTCCCTGACATTCCAAACAGAGAAGAAGAACAGTGAGTTCTTTTACAAGATTATCAGTGAATTTCCATCAGCAAGCATAACAGAGCCAACTGAAATGTTAAGATACTTGCAGAGCAAAATTGTACATGGCCGACGCTTGGATGTCAGAGCACGTAGGAGACACTAACTTTATGGGAGTTGATCGTGACAATGTCTTGGAAATAACCTTTGATGAACTACGATCAGTGGAAGATCCAAGAATTACCTTCCAAGTAGAGTTTTATGGTGAGCAGGCTGAAGATATTGGAGGTCCAAGAAAAGAGTGGATCAGGCTTTTCAACCAACAGAACAAGGCAAAATATTTTGACCATGGACTTAAGGAACGCTTAGCAGAGGATTACAATTTTGTAGGGCAAATGGCTGCAATTGCCCTTTTACAGAATGGGCAGGCGCCAAAGTATTTTTCTGAAGAACTGTTGAATGACATTTTTGTTAGTGATGAATTAGCAAGTTCAAAGAGTGTTTTGAAGCTTCGTCAAGGACTAGATACTCTTGGAATTCACATGTTTACCCAAAAGTTCCCAATGTTCCTTTACCTGCTTAGACCACCCCAAAACAATGCCAAATTGACAGTTCCACTTATCCTTCATCTCCTTAAACCCACGTTCTCTGAGGAAGGCTCTAACAGTCTATAGTATGAGAAAGCTGTGTATAGTAAGTTTGTCAAGTACCTGCGAGATGTGGCAAGTGGGCGTAGCGTGACCACATTGGAAAACATCTTGGAATTTGTCACAGGAGCAAGTGAAGAGCCACTGTTGGGGTTTACCAAACAACCAAGCATTCATTTTATGGTTCCCTATGTGCCCGCAAAGAGACCACAGAAGACAACATCAGTGAAGAACAGGTAAACAATAGTATGTAAATGATGACTATTGTGTTAGCCACTCCAATCTTATTGGTGGTGTCACCAGACCTGCAAATGTCATCACCAAGCCTTTTTTTGAATTTTAAATTATAGTTAAGAAGTTTCAGAGCAGATTAGCGGTAAAAGTATTTTGAAAAATTAGTGCAACAAATTTTGAGCACAAAGGAGTCTTATTTTCCATGGTCTGTGCTCGTATCAACCACAGAAATGACATTGAAACGTTCAAAACTTTGTGGAATTATAAATGCATTCAATTTAATACCTTTTTTTGCTATTTGCTTACGTCTATTCAATTTAATCCTCAATTTTCATTCAATTCAATCCCCAATCATTCAATTTAATAACTGATATTTATTCAATTTAATCTACTTAAAGTCATTCAATCTGAACACTGATACTTGTTCAATTCAACCCTTCCGTATTCGTTCAATTTAAAATATATATGTATTTTTAATTTGATCACTGATATCTATTCAGTTTATTCAACCACATTTTATTCAGTTCGAACGACATACATTCATTCAATTCAATCAGCCCATATTCGTTCAGTGTTCGCACTCATTCATTTAATCTCGGGGACTGGGACGAGTGAAAATAAACGCGCGGTACTGGGTAATTCTTCCCGCTCTTTGAAGTCGACCATCTTGGTTACACTATGGATGAAGATAGATTAAAGAAGGCGGCTGGCCTTCTTAAAGAGACATCTGATATGTTGCTGACTGTGAAAACATCAACATCTACTAGTTCTGGAACGGATTCAAGTGATTCGAGTACAATGAGACTGGCAATAACAACGCCGATCGCCGAAACCCCTGCAAGGGCAAGATCAATGATGAACACAAGCTCCAGTCGCGGTCTGTACAGAAGACTCAACAGAAATGAGAGGCTGAGAGCGACAGCAGAGTCAGCGACGAAAAACAAGACGGCGAAAAAGACCAAGAAAATCGAGAAAAGGCCATTTGAATTTGCTCTTCCTAGGGCAATTTCCAAAGAAAGCGATGAAGAGGATAAAGTTGAAACATTGAAAAAAGAGAAGATTGTGGAAAGAGGTATGGTGGTACTTAATGAGGATGATAGCGAATTGTGTGTGCGTGGAAAAATAGTTTCATCCCTAAAATCGGAATACGGTTTACTAGGACCAAATGACTTCGACTTTGCTAAAGTAGCCCAAAAGAAAATATCAGTGTTAAGACTAGCTGAGGGAACCGAGTACAATTACAGTGTCGTAAAGAAACTAGCCGGACAAGGGCTTCTCTACATTCGCATGAAGAAAGCATACAACTTTGTTTTAAACGAATCAGACTCAGGGCAAGATCAGTCTGATTGGCTTGATGAAGATTTACTTGAGTCTCACAGGCCAGCTCAAAGACCCAGCAGTACCACTACATGTCATAATCAGACAGGGGAGTTCACTGGTACAAGTACAAGTACAAATACCAGTACCCAACAAACGGAAGAGTCGACAATTACCACTGATCCTCAAAGAGATAAGTCCCTGACATTCCAAACAGAGAAGAAGAACAGTGAGTTCTTTTACAAGATTATCAGTGAATTTCCATCAGCAAGCATAACAGAGCCAACTGAAATGTTAAGATACTTGCAGAGCAAAATTGTACATGGCCGACGCTTGGATGTCAGAGCACGTAGGAGACACTAACTTTATGGGAGTTGATCGTGACAATGTCTTGGAAATAACCTTTGATGAACTACGATCAGTGGAAGATCCAAGAATTACCTTCCAAGTAGAGTTTTATGGTGAGCAGGCTGAAGATATTGGAGGTCCAAGAAAAGAGTGGATCAGGCTTTTCAACCAACAGAACAAGGCAAAATATTTTGACCATGGACTTAAGGAACACTTAGCAGAGGATTACAATTTTGTAGGGCAAATGGCTGCAATTGCCCTTTTACAGAATGGGCAGGCGCCAAAGTATTTTTCTGAAGAACTGTTGAATGACATTTTTGTTAGTGATGAATTAGCAAGTTCAAAGAGTGTTTTGAAGCTTCGTCAAGGACTAGATACTCTTGGAATTCACATGTTTACCCAAAAGTTCCCAATGTTCCTTTACCTGCTTAGACCACCCCAAAACAATGCCAAATTGACAGTTCCACTTATCCTTCATCTCCTTAAACCCACGTTCTCTGAGGAAGGCTCTAACAGTCTATAGTATGAGAAAGCTGTGTATAGTAAGTTTGTCAAGTACCTGCGAGATGTGGCAAGTGGGCGTAGCGTGACCACATTGGAAAACATCTTGGAATTTGTCACAGGAGCAAGTGAAGAGCCACTGTTGGGGTTTACCAAACAACCAAGCATTCATTTTATGGTTCCCTATGTGCCCGCAAAGAGACCACAGAAGACAACATCAGTGAAGAACAGGTAAACAATAGTATGTAAATGATGACTATTGTGTTAGCCACTCCAATCTTATTGGTGGTGTCACCAGACCTGCAAATGTCATCACCAAGCCTTTTTTTGAATTTTAAATTATAGTTAAGAAGTTTCAGAGCAGATTAGCGGTAAAAGTATTTTGAAAAATTAGTGCAACAAATTTTGAGCACAAAGGAGTCTTATTTTCCATGGTCTGTGCTCGTATCAACCACAGAAATGACATTGAAACGTTCAAAACTTTGTGGAATCCTATGGTGTGATTATACTGTAGCCAGTATAGAGGCAGCTTAAAAATGGCTACAATGGCTTCACGTTAAAAAAAAAAACACTTTCTCTGGTACAAAATTAATATTTATCTGCCACACCCCTGGTTATGGCCCAAAAAGGTCCTGTTTAGTAGTCCGGGACAACTAGATTTTCGTACTTGCCCTATTGGCAAGGGCCTGGCAAGTCATCTTCTAACTAAATCGTAACCTCAAGCACTCATTCAATGACCTCAAGCTAGCAAAATGTGAGAACGGCTTCTTCAAACAACAAGCTGGAATTCAAGTTTTTTGGAGTGCTGCTACATGTATTACTGTTTGTTTTCCAGTACATGTATATGAGATTTTTGATTGATCAACAGTCATTTTCACTCTGTTATTTTTTCCAGGGTACACAAAAGAAAAGGATCACAACTGATTTCTTGCCTAAGGCCCATACTTGTTCTAATACTTTACATTTACCAAGAGGAACCCCAAACCTCCCTCTGCCAGCAGACGGAGAATTGTTCAAACTTTATGACTATGTTCAAGAATGCATATTTTGAGGTTGTCTAACAAGGTCCCTCACAATAAGTTTTATTGATAGTTTTCCTGTTCAGGCAGGATTACACTTCAACATGTTAAACCCAAGCAGCTCACAAATTTGCTTATTATTATTGAACAATTAGATGCCCCTAAAGTACACCGGTTTATTAGTTTTTGCAAATTTAAAATGACTGTCGTTTTTTAACTTCCCTACTTTTCCCCACTGGTTGTTTATTCAACGTTTCCAAGTTTTCCTCAAGGTTATGAAGAACATTCTTCAAAAGGGTTCTCATTGATCTTAGAATTAATTACAATGAATAAAACTTCTTTAAGAGAAGTACATATTATTGTGATTTGAAAAACCTTACTGGAAATAGTTTTACTTCCAATTAGGCAAGGTTACTTTTAATTGGGAGCAAGTGATCGGAAAATATGTATTCAAACATTTTAAGTTTACATGTCTTAACAGTTGGTACCATAATTTCACATTTAAATTTATTCATGAAAAGTGATAGAAATATGAAATAAGAAAAGAAACCACTGAACAGTTGATATTTTAATGATGAACCATTTCACCCCCAGAGTGAATGATGGAGTCTTTTGATGTGGTTCTACCTTTTGAGCTTGTGTACAAAATCCTGACCATTCAAATGAAACCTCTCTTGCAGTACTTTCACAAAGTACAGTTTGTTTTCAGATTTTTACAAAATATATTGTAGAATTTTGTGCAATTTGGATCTAGTTGGCCACTTCTGGGAGTGAAAGGGTTGAATTTAATATTAATGTTACTGTTGTCGCAAAACTTTGAACATGCACTAGTAATATGATACTGTTATGAACTTATGTAGCCAAAAATTAAATAAGCTGGCTGACTGTTAATTTCTGACCTTGAAAAAATTGATCAACGTTGGACTGAGGATCACTTTCTTCAATAAAAATTGTTGAATAATTTAAATACCAGAGTTTTTTTTGTGTACATATATTCACTGTTTACAGGGAGTCATTATGACTCCTGAAGAAGGACCATGAGTTGTACACTGATATTTAGAAATTTCCATAATCCAAGTCGTGCCCCTCCCTGCTTCCCAGGTTAACATTTGGGCATTGGCATTTTGTACATCACTCATGATGACAGTGAGAACAAGTCAATAACATTGTTCAGTGGCAATACTGTCTTCTTCAGTGTTCTTGCTCTAACTTATGAACTATAATTTCAAGAGCTTTAGCATAAATGTCCACACCAAAACTAGAAGACTCCTGTAAAGGATCAACAGCAGTAGTTAAATAGGCCACCAGTTCATCAGTGTTGCTGCTTGGTAGCTGGGCAGGAAACACTTCAACATTGTTGTTGGATTCTTCAGTTGGTATCGGTGCTTCAGGATCTTCTCCATAAAATGTCATATCTTCAGGCTCAACGTCATTACTGCCATTAGCAAGAGGATTGCATGGATGCATCATCCCATTCAACCACATTTGATTTGGTGACCAACTGTGCTCTGTTTGGACAGGATGGTCATTGAAAGAGACCATCCATTCAGATAAAGCATTGTTTATTCTTGCCAAATAGACATACTGTAAAGTAAACATGTGAATAGGGTTTTCAACATCCAAAACTCCAGTTTGCTCCATTGCATAGAATATGTAGTAAAATACATGGCAAATACATCTGAAAACATCTCTCCATAATCTCTCAATTCTCTGATTTCTTGTGGATGAACCAGCAATGAAACTACCCCGACCTTCTCCCCGAACAGCTACCATTGCATCACATACAGCAGTGTTCTCCACACCATAATCTACCCTGATGCGAGAGGGCCATAACCCACCATCTCGTTCCACAGCACTTTCAAAGAGACCAAGAACTGTTGAAGCAAGATTATTTGTGCTGCAATGAAGGAAAATAATTCTTCTTGAATAACCATCGATGCATCCGTGTATTATAAAGCCCCAGCGAATCAAAGAGTGATGACCATCTAAATGCCATAACGAGTTTGGCCACGGGACAAAATACACTCTCCTTGACACTAATGCACCCCACCTCAATGCGGTGTTCCTTGGATCTACCCTGTTTAAACTCTCTCTGATCCTCCTTCTCTGTATGGTATATCCCAATGCTCTAAAGTATCCACGGAGGTAGGATTCTCCTGTGGTTGACCCATGGCGTGCAATGTAGTCACGAATGATATCGTCGATTTCTTCATCAGTGATGCTACTGAAGAGAGAGAGATTTTCAAGTTCAAATAAACGAACTCGACGCATAATTGTCCAGCGTGACACTTTAAATATACTAGCAATCTTTTGCCATGTAAATCCCAGCCCTCTCAACTCTTCGAGTACCTCAGGCGGAATGTGAACCCGTGGTCTACCTGGGCCTTCACTCTTGACCAATAGACTAGGGAATGTTATTACTTGCGAGGTATAAGATGCCGTGCTTCCAAAATGATGAAGGAACTTTTCAAGTAGTTCAGAAAACACCACTCTTAAATCGCCTAACAGTTTCAGATCAGTTTCGTCTGTGACTTTCCTCGCCAATTGAGCTAGTAATCTTACCGTTCTCTCTAGGAGATCGAAATGGGTTGAAATACGATGTTCACCGCTTACATTTGAGTTCTCATCAAGAAGTTCCTCCGTCCTGTTTAAGACATGCTCAAAGAAACTCTCGATTCCTAAATCATCGCAAACATCGATCATGTCTTCCGATTCCGCCATCTTTATTGCGGGAAGAGTGTTACCCAGTACCACGCGTTTGTTTTTACTTGTCCCAGTCCCCGAGATTAAATGAATGAGTGCGAACACTGAACGAATATGGGCTGATTGAATTGAATGAATGTATGTCGTTCGAACTGAATAAAATGCGGTTGAATAAATTGAATAGACATCAGTGATCAAATTAAAAAAATATATATATATTTCAAATTGAACGAATATGGAAGGATTGAATTGAATAAGTATCAGTGTTCAGATTGAATGACTTTTAGTAGATTAAATTGAATAAATATCAGTTATTAAATTGAATGATTGGGGATTGAATTGAATGAAAATTGAGGATTAAATTGAATAGAAGTAAGCAAATAGAAAAAAAAGGTACTAAATTGAATGCATTTATAAATATTGAATATTGCTACATTTGGCTTGGCATACTGGATCCTCTTCATCTGAGGCAGTGATTTTTGGTGCAGACAAAGAATCTAACAAAACTACCTTTTCGTTAACTCTTCTGTTAAAAGCATACCAGTGGCCACTGATTTTTTTCTGTGCTTTGTGGCTTGATGTATATGCCTTGACAACAGCAAATTTGGCAACCATATTATTCTTGTATGTACATGTCTAAAATGATTCAATTGCTCCAAAATATACATTGTTTGGTGACTTGTGAACAGCCACAATGCACGAAGACTTTTTAGCTGCAGATGCGTACCACACAACTGTTTTTCCTGACATTGTCTCCATTCTAAGCTCTTTAAAGGACCTTGTTACTGCAAC